GCTGGTACCAACCCGGCCGCCACCACTGCCTCCGCCTCCACCCCCACTGCCGCCACCACCGCCGCCTCCGCCACTCCCACTGCCGCCACCACCGCCGCCACCTGCCCCTCCACCCCCACCACCACTACCTCCTCCACCGCCGCCCCCTCCACCTCCTCCACCGCCCCCACCACCGCCTCCACCTCTGCCACCCCCACCGCTCCTGCCTCCCCTACCTCTGCCGCTGCGGCGCCTCCCACTAGGGGCAGACGCAGCTCCTACCTCCTCAGCACGAAGGTAGTCTACAGCTGCAGCAGAGGCGACTGAGGGGAGAAGGGGGGAGGGCGAACACCCCTCAAAGAAGGGAGTGCGAGGAGTGCCACAAGAAGCACCTACAGCGACTATGCTAGTCTCAGCTGCTAGGAGGTGCTTCTCGAGGAGGTCGACAGTGAGGTCTGTGGGGTCAAGGGCGAGAAGTAGGTCCTTGACTGCGGTAAGAGAGTCACGGAGGTGGGTGAATATGAAGTAGAGTGTGATGTACATGGGGGGGGGGTTCTTGGCGAGAAAATCGGCGAGGAGCGCAGCACGGTAGCGAGTGTCACTAGTGCGGAGGTGAGTGACGAGGTCAGCTACTGTGGCAAAGGCGGACAGCTCTGGGAACAGGTAGGGCAGGAGAAGGCGGCCTAGAGCAGCAGTGGCCGGGGAGGAGTAACGAGCGACTACAGCGTCGTAGTGCTTTCAGCTGTCTTATGCTGGCCAAAGTGGGCGCTTCCGGCTAACGGCAGGTGGTTGCGAATGGCTAGGCGAGCAGCAGCGTCACGGGTAAGCCACTGTGAGCGAGTCGCTCTGTCAGCTGTGGCGGTAGGGGCAGGCGAGGCGCCAAACGTGAGGTCAAACAGCGAAATACCGTCCTTAGAGTCTGTCGGCAGGAACAGCTGTAAGTCATCTAGCCACACATTGAACTCTATCGGGCGGCCCTCCGAATCGAAGGTGAGAACGTTGAGAGTGGCCATAGCGGGCAGAGCAGTCGGGCGCGCTAGCAGCACGCAGGCAAGGCTAGGCAAGTGAGCGCGCTAGCAGCAGGGCAGCAGTGAGCGGCGCGTGGTAGGGCAAGGCGCGCGCACGCGGCAGGGCAAGGCGCAGCGCTCAGGTAGGGCGTGCGGGCAGAGCAGGGTGCGCGGCGGCGCGGCGCGCAGGCAGGGCAGGGCGCGCGGGCAGGGCAGAGGCGCGCGGCAGCGCGGCGCACGGGCAGGGCAGAGGCGCGCGATGCGGCGCATGGGCAGGGCAGGGCACGCAGCGGCGCGGCGTGCGGGCAGGGCAGGGCGCACGGCGGCGCGGCGCGCGGGCAGGGCAGGGCACGCGGCAGCGCGGCGCGCGGGCAAGGCAGGGCGCGCGGCGGCGCGGCGCGCGGGCAGGGCAGAGATGCGTGGCGGCGCGGCGCGCGGGCAGGGCAAAGGCACGCGGCGCGGCGAGCGGGCAGGGCAGGCGCGGTGCAGCGGTACCTTGATCTGGAACAAAGTCGAGGACAAAGACGTTATTCTTCAGGACTTCCTTCCCGATGTAGAGTCCGCCCTTTCCATTCTAAAGCTTAAACTCCTGAGTGGTGCTGACAGCTTCAAGGTGGATTCCTTTCGCCATGAGTTGACTGGCGCTAAGTAAGTTGTAGCCGAGTCTTTTTGCGATCAACACTTTCGACATTTGCAGGATAACGTTGGTCTCTCAAGATTGAAGTTGAACCACCCCTTGTCGTCGTGTGTGCAGGTTCTGATTGTTGGCGATGGTGATGACAACTTCGCGGTTGAGACGTTGTTCTTGTTGGGCGAAACGACCTGAAGAGCACATGTGTTGTCCGCAGTAGCTGTCCAAGAACCAGGTATCTTTCCCAGATGGTTCGCTTTGGGGGATGGCTGCGTACGTCGGATTTGGCTCCAGTGACTCGCGACGAGGCGTACTCTTGTCGAGCTGTTCTTCGGGTGAGTAGTTTGGTGGTGAGCCGGTGATATAGGAGTCCATTGTTCTTGTCATGCAGCTTATGATATTTCTTGTTCCTTTTGCAGGTTGTGATGTTGTCGTTGAAGACGACGCCTGGTTGGAAGGATGCTGTTGTCTGGAAGCCACTTGACAGCTTGAGGGTCGGAGCTGGCATGGTGGTGTCGATTGCTGTTGATTCGGACAGTGAACACGAGAATGTCTTGACGTTTTGAAAAGGTGACAGAACGGTGGTACGTATCTCTGTGCCTGATGTTCGTGTTGTCGGTTGTTATTGTTGCACCGTTGAGTGTCAAACGCAAACTCCGGTACTGATGCCTTCTTCTTGTGTCGTTCTTCGTGCAGGTCCATGTCTTGTTGCTCAGCATCGATTTCGGCGCAAAGGGCTGCTTTAGAGATTCTTGCATGAGCTCGGAGGATGGCTCGGGTGAAGCGCCACTGAGGACCGAGACCAGTGATGATGACAGTGACGAACGCTTCTTCGGATATTGACCTGCCGCATCGAAGGAGTCTGTCGCGTAGACCGCGGCAGCGACTGATATACGCCATTCCCTTTTCTCCGGGTTGCATCTGCACTGTTGTCAGTTGTGCCATGAGACGACTCTGATTGACGCCGTCGGTTGCTTGATACAGGTTCTTCAAGTGGTTGTACGCGAGCTCAGCAGAGTTGCCGTATCCACAATAAGACCGGATGTTTTGCTGCTCGTTTGGCGTTATGTTTCGCATGAGTATGGTGTACGCCATTAGCGACTGATACGTGTACTGCTGCTTGTCGTACTGTGTCCCGTGTGTTAGGTATGGCAGGGAACCATCGAAAAATCCAAGGATTTGAGCGCCCTCCATCATCAACTCGAACTCGAACGACCAGGTATAAAAATCCTTGCCATCGAACGGTGTTAACGCTTGTAGTTTTAGAACGTGTGCAAACTGCGACTGTATGTGAAGTGCATCCAGTGTCTTCTCTTGTCCAGGTGGTGGCTGGTTTGGCATAAAGCTGATGGACTCGCACTGAGGTTCATACGGTGCAAAGGTAGGCTGCTGCTGATTTCTGCGCGCAAAGGATGAGCCGTCAAGACTCATGGAGGTAACGCCGTTGTTGTTGTCGCTGTTGTTTGATTGTGCAGGTGCTGCTTGCTGGTGCTGTTCGTAAAACGACATGAAGGAGAAGAATTTCTCCATCATGTGTGGGTCGAAGCCGGTTGTTTGGTTCGCAGGAGTTTCTGTAGGTTCGGCAGCTGGTCTTGTTGCCGTTACTCCCTCTATCTGCAGTCCAGAGGGTGGAGGTGGAGTAGGAGTAGTGCCAGGTGATCCTTCTGTGTTGCCATGTCTTGAGTTGTTGTAGGAAGTTGAACAGATTTGAGTCTTGCCCTGTCTGCTCTCATACCATGTTGAGCTGAGAAAAGCCCTTAGGATCTGGGCCTCAGATATCAGGAAAAAAACCCTGAAATTCCTGATTTTGGCAGCCGATTTTCAAGCTACCCTGAAAAGTCAAAGTTGGGATTTTTGTAGGACTGATCTTTCAGCGTTTTTTTATTGGCCACACTGATATTTCAGGTTTTTTTCCCGTTGTACACTGATGCCACTACGTTGTAACGAAACCGACACTGAAAGCGAATCTCATCTGTGCCATGTCACCTCGACCGCAATTGCAGGGAATCTCAGATTCCCTGTATGTAGGCACCCCGTGGCGGGACCACCCTTAGAAATGTTGCCTTAGGTTCACGTTGAGAGGTGTTTTTTTGGCGGGGCGCCTCACACCATTGGGCCGTTTCGCTGCAGCATCCAGTGTTGGCGAATCCGAACGTGGCAGATATGTGGTGCTGGCGGGCTGCCAAGGTTCCTGCCCCGTACCCATCATGTGCGATGCGTTAGGTTTGGGCTGTGCTGGCAAGCACCGTGCCATCCTCCACGCCGCCCAGCCCATCCACCGTTTCCGCCATCTAAAAGTAGGACTTCAAAATAGAGTCAGTGTTTTTGCAAAAGGTACACTGATGCATCAGACTTTAAAAATTCGCAACACTGACATTTCAGCCTTTTTTTTTTTGGGACACTGAAAATCAGAGTTAACACGCAGGGGGACCCTGATGGGGTGACGACCCTAAAAGTGAATCTGAGGCCCTGCTTAGGATCGTTTCAAGGCTAAAGACTCGAAGTGACTATGTAATTGCGGAAGTGTTGTAGTGAACTGGTTGAACCACCTTGCACTAGTGTGCAAGAGCAAGATAGATTGATTATAGCAAAGTAATACAAGGCTTTATATGATTCCAAGGAATATGAAAAGACTTTAACTGTTGCTGTTGCTGTTGCGATTCGATACAGCTGCGACTCGGACAACTGCTCAGTAACAAGTCAGTTGTTTGTCCTTGCTGTCGCCCTGCCTTCCGGTGAGTCAAAGGTCGCTAACCTTTGACCTTTGCTTAACCTCCTTGCTGTTACATTTTGTCAACCTCTTCAGTTGACTCGCCGTTGCTTCGCTGTAGTTCTCCTCGCTTACAGTTCAGTGTTTCGATACAGCAGAAGCGTAAATTACTTGTTTCCAACAAAAATGAATCCGAGGCCCTGCTATGGTACAATCAGTGGCTTCAAGGAGAGCAGCTAATAGAGCGCAGCGAAGCAACTTCTCCACTTGTCGTCCTGCAGTGAACCCATTCAGGGCAAGGCAACAAAACAAGAAAACAGATCACTCGAAGCTAAAGCGTAACTTGATGACAACAAACCGAGGAAACTGGGTAAGGACAACGCAAGCAAGAAAGCTGCACATGTTAGCACAAACACCAGTGAAATGGAATACGGCAGCTATCAGCATGTAACACTCACGCAGCAGTGGTAACATTGTTGCCGGGGCGAGACCACCCTGTGGCGCGGCCATAGCAGTCAGCCCCGTTCCAAAACCACATGAGGCCACACACGGCTCTGCTGCCCGTGGCACCATCAGGCGCATCCCAGAGGATCTTCAGCGACCCCACCGCCCCCGCCATGGGCGCCGGCACATTCACACAGCCGGCGGGGCGGGCGGCACCGGGCGGGGGTGCTCAGAGGATGGAGGGGGCGAGGGAGGAGGGCGAGTTGGTGAAGGAGGGGCGGTTGAAGAGAGCGATGCTGGTGGTGACTGTGGTGGATGAGGCTGGAGAGAGTTTGGTGCGAGGGGAATGGAGGAGAGGGAAGAAACAGAAGCTGGTTGAGGGGATAATTCATAATGGGGTGTTGGAAGTACCCATGTGTGTGTGATGAGAGCATTGTCAATGTGTTTGTAAATCTTTGAGGACTTTTAGAAAGTATGACCTAGTTCAGGTCACTTTTGTGGCAACTGAAGGGTTTCAGTTGGAAGCGTACTTTGAGTGCAGGCGCCGTTGATGAGGGACTGTGTGGCCGGGCAGGCGCATTGCTGTCATTGCTGTCCGCCCTGCAGCGTGCTGTCATTGCTGTCCGCCCTGCAGCGTGCTGAGGCCGGGCACTTCACTCCCTTGCAGGAGGGCGCTGGAGGGAGGGAGGGGAGAGAGGGGTGGAGGAGGTGAGGAAGAATCACGAGGGTGACGTAGGTCGCATAAGAAGCAAGAGTCACAAATTCACGAATCTTGATAAGGCACCTCGACAACCTCTATCACTGAACCAGCACTCACCCAGGCATGTGTAGGGAGCGGTGAGCACGGTGCCCTGGGGGCACACACACTGCGCTGCTCCAGACGAGCCGTCACACACCAGGTCCCCTGCACACCTGCTCGCCCCCCTGCATGGGTCTGCATTGTGAGGGAGAAAAAAAGGGGTGTGAGGGTGGGGGAGAGCAAGAGATTGTGTGCAGACGAATTTTTTCTTTTTGTTTTCGAATGGGGGGGAGAGGAGGTGGGTGAGGAGCGGGGGAAGTACGAAAGGCGGGAAGGTTGAGTGAGGCACACACTGATACACGTGCCAACAAGCCACATACCACGCACCCTACACTCCCAACGCATGCCGGACACACGCCCAACACACGCCACGCGCCCCACATGCTCACCTGCTTGGCACTTGCCGTTGACGAGCGCCTGGCGTTGAGGGCACTGGCACGTGGGCTTGCCCCCCACTGCCATGCAGGAGGTTGTGGAGGGGCAGAGCACTCGGAAGCAGGGGTCTTGCACTGCAGAGAGGGGACATTGGGGGGGGAGGAGGGGGAGGGGAGGCAAAAGCAGGGAAACAAGAGAGCGTGTTGAGGAGAGAGAGAGCAAAGGCAAGACGGCAAGGGGGGGAGAGCAAGGGGGAGAGGGAAAAGGGGAGAGGGCAATGGGAAGAGGGCAAGGGGGAAAGGGCAAGGGGGAGAGTGCAAGAGGGACAGGCCCTCATGGGTGTAAGGCATGAACAGTGTAAGACATGAACAGTGTAAGGCATGAGCAGTGTAAGGCATGAGCAGTGTAAGGCATGAGCAGTGTAAGGCATGAGCAGTGTAAAGCATGAGCAGTGTAAGGCATGTTGCAATGCGTACCATAAGGCAGCTGGCCAATGAGGTTGCCCTGCGGTGAGTAGTGGCACGCCCACACGTCCCTGCTCGTGCCACATGACGCCTTGGCACACCCCAGCCTGCGCGTGTTGTTCCACACCACCTGCACCCCCATGGCCATGCCCATGCGCCAGGCCACACCCACAAAGCACGAGGCGGCTGTGAGCACAAGGAACTCAGAATCAAATGAAATGAGAGATGCCACGTGCATGCAGGCGCAGGCATTGAGACACCTGCACCCAGGCAATGAAGTGTTGTTAACGCCACTACCCGCCACTCACCTGCGTGTAGTGGCCGCACTTGGCCCAATCACCGCCCGCACAGCCGTTGGGGAACACTCCGAGTTGGTACCACTTGCCCTCGTCTACCCACAACCGCACCGCATCGTCGTTCGATGCCCATCCGCTGGGGCCAGCACCCGACAGGTTCTGCCCCTCGCCGCTGTTGCCTCCGTGCTGCAGCTGGCAGTTGTGCTCCCTCGTTGTCAGGGTGAGCGCCCATGCCCTCGCCCTTGCCGCCACTGGGAGTGGGAGAGGCGGTAGGGGGAAGGGGAAGGGAGAGAAGGGAGAAGGAAACAAAGGGAGAAGGAAGGAGGAAGAGGAGAAGGGAATGAGGGGAATGAGATGCATGCATGGATTACACGTACCTACCACCCACCCACGTACGCCATGGGACATGCATCCATTACTCATCACCACCTAGATGCGCCATGCTACATGCATGCACCACCCATACCACGCACATACGCCATGCTACATGCATGCACCATCCACACCACGCACATACGCCATGCTACATGCATGCACCACCCATACCACGCACATACGCCATGCTACATGCATGCACCACCCATACCACGCACATACGCCATGCTACATGCATGCACCACCCATACCACGCACATACGCCATGCTACATGCATGCACCACCCATACCACGCACATACGCCATGCTACATGCATGCACCACCCATACCACGCACATACGCCATGTTACATGCATGCACCACCCATACCACGCACATACGCCATGCTACATGCATGCACCACCCATACCACGCACATACGCCATGCTACATGCATGCACCACCCATACCACGCACATACGCCATGCTACATGCATGCACCACCCATACCACGCACATACGCCATGCTACATGCATGCACCACCCATACCACGCACATACGCCATGCTACATGCATGCACCACCCATACCACGCACATACGCCATGCTACATGCATGCACCACCCATACCACGCGCATACGCCATGCTACATGCATGCACCACCCATACCACGCACATACGCCATGCTACATGCATGCACCACCCATACCACGCACATACGCCATGCTACATGCATGCACCACCCATACCACGCACATACGCCATGTTACATGCATGCACCACCCATACCACGCACATACGCCATGCTACATGCATGCACCACCCATACCACGCACATACGCCATGCTACATGCATGCACCACCCATACCACGCACATACGCCATGCTACATGCATGCACCACCCATACCACGCACATACGCCATGCTACATGCATGCACCACCCATACCACGCACATACGTCATGCTACATGCATGCACCACCCATACCACGCACATGCGCCATGCTACATGCATGCACCACCCATACCACGCACATGCGCCATGCTGTATTCATGCAGCCCCTCGCCCCAGCAGCAGCACTCACGGGCATCGTCTCACACGAGGGGCACGGCGCCCACAGCGGCCCTGACGGCGTTGTGTTGGTCCAGGTAGTCCGAGTGGGCGAGAGCGGCGGCCGAGCACTGGTTGTTGACCAGCCGCTTGAAGGGTGCTGGACATTTGCACACCGCTGCACCGTTCTGCACCGCGCACTTGGAAACGTCCGGGCACTTGACTCCGTAGCAGGAGTCTGGGGAGGAGATGGGGAGGGAAACGTGGGAGGAACGAAAAGGGTTGGGAATTTGCACACCACTGCACCGTTCTACACCACTCATCGCCGCGCACTTGGACAGCGGTAACCCTTCGCGCCCAAACATAAATCTGCAGAGGAAAACAGGAAAAGGGGGGAAAACTGGGAGCGGAAAGGGGGGGGAACGGGGGGCGGAAAGGGGGAAAGAAAAATGTATTCCTTTTATACAACGAAGGGAGATCGCGGGACCGGATGCAGCGAGTCAATTAAGCGCGTGATTCATGTTGCAACCACCTAGCGTTGTTGCAACCACCTAGCGTTGTTGCAACCACCTGGCGTTGTTGCAACCACCTGGCGTTGTTGCAACCACCTGGCGTTGTTGCAACCACCTGGCGTTGTTGCAACCACCTGGCGTTGTTGCAACCACCTGGCGTTGTTGCGACCACCTGGCGTTGTTGCAACCACCTAGCGTTGTTGCAACCACCTAGCGTTGTTGCAACCACCTAGCGTTGTTGCAACCGCCTAGCGTTGTTGCAACCACCTAGCGTTGTTGCAACCACCTGGCGTTGTTGCAACCACCTAGCGTTGTTGCAACCACCTGGCGTTGTTGCAACCACCTAGCGTTGTTGCAACCACCTAGCGTTGTTGCAACCACCTGGCGTTGTTGCAATCACCTGAGCACGAGCACTTGGCGACGCCGGAAGAATCCGAGCAGGAGCAACCGTTCGGGCACGACACGAGCGAGCACGCGCCGCTGGCGGCCGCACCGCGCCATGGTTGCGCCGAGGCGCCTCTCCACCGACCGGCGCCTGCGGCGATGGCGGCGGATGCGGAAACGAGGTGGCGAGAGAGGAGGGTGGCGTGGAGGAGGGGAAGGAGGAGGAGGAAGAGAAGCGGGGTAGCGAGTGCTGTTCGCAGTATACGCGCCATCAGGCTATCAGTAGTAGCGCCGATCAGTGCGAGATCGAGAAATTGAATGGAGCAACACCCTTTGCAAATGGTGAGTGGCGATTCGCGAATTTAGCCAGGCGAGACTGGCTGGTGGATGGCTGCGGTTGTAACTACGGCGAGGATAGATACGGGTACGAATGCGAGGGTGGCTGCTCTTTAAACGAGCACAGGCGGACCAAGCCATGGCGCACGCGACGCGAGCTAAGTGAGCTTCGTGTGAACGAAACGAGACGGGCGGCGAAACCGGATCGCCTCTGACCGTCCAAACGTGGCTTGCAAGTTGGGACTCTCGACGCACACGAAAGCGGGTTACGGCTAATCGGAAAAAGGTCGGACCCGCGAATCGGTGGTGGATCTCTGAACTCGCGGCGACTGCGCCGTAGTACGAGTCCGTAGCACGAATGTTAGCTGGAACTTCACTTTCTCTGGCAGAGAAATAAGCCCGTAGTAAGGATGTTGGCTGTTGGCCCTCGGTTTCATGCTTTGTCTAAAACTTGTACACCACGGGGCGTCGAATGAGAGAGTTATATACAGTAGTACGGTTATTCATGTTCTTGAACTTTACGAGGCATCACACTCCGGTTCAGTGGCGTGTGAAACTCGCCTTCTCCAACCCTTTTCCCGCGTTTGGTGGAATCGATGCATCACAAGCGTCTTGCGCACGGGATCTCTTCCTCACAGACTGTTTCAATAAAAGGGAATTAGCACTTACAGAAATGGAGCATCACGTTTAAAGTTGTTACACTTGGTATAGCGAGTAAACTTGGATTGCACTAAGGTTGGCAAGAATACCTCTTGATATACCTCAACGGACAAACGAGTTCGCCCAGCAAAAAAGGTGCCAGGGGCAGAAAAAAACCAAAACCCATAGAGAAAGGCATGCCATTCGAGAGAGGCATCAAGCCTAAACACCTTCTCTCATGGTGCTTAGGGTTGATGCCTCCCTCGGATGCATGCTATGCAAAGGGGTTTTAGTTTTCCTGCCTGGGAGAGGCAGGTCGACGATCGATTTTGCCAAGGAAATCAACCGTCGGCCCAATTTCTTTTGAGATATTCCTGTCAGAGGTCCACTGGTGATCCCCGATTGATCCTAGAGAAGGGTTACAGGCACGTTGGCCTGGGGGGTTATGGGCGCACTGACCCGCTACTTAACAAGCCCTTTTATCCCAATGGTCTAGTGGTTGGGATTCTGACATGGTACCAGAGCGAAGGTTTCGGGTTCGAATCCCGGTGTGTGCATTTCGGGCATCCCAGTGCGGGGGGGTGTCAGAGGTCCACTGGTGATCCCCGATTGATCCTAGGGAAGGGTTACAGGCACGTTGGCCTGGGGGGTTATGGGCGCACTGACCCGCTACTTAACAAGTCCTTTTATCCCAATGGTCTAGTGGTTGGGATTCTGACAATTCCGTACAGGATGCAGGCGAAGGCATGAGCGAACATTTATAGCGAAACAAGAGCGGTAACGCGGTACGTGCGATTTAGCTAGTATGATGCTCGCAACAAGGTTCCGGCGAGTCCCGAAACGTAGGGCAACCCAGGCCAGTCCAGTAGTGCGACACGCGAAGGCGGCGAAACATTGTCAGCAGTAACAGACGAAGAGACGGTTGATTCCGTATGCAATGTTGAGGTGCTCAGTAAGGAATGCCAAAAAAATCATTACACTAGTTCATGCATATAAGAAAAAAAAAAAATCCGCATGCCGCACATGGCTTTAACACGTACAATACTGTGCATGGTGATTCGAACATTCTTTGCGTGCATGTCAGAATCCCATCCACTGGACCATTGGGATAAAAAGGCTTGTTTGCGTAACGGGTAAGTGCGCCCATAACCCCCTAGGCCAACGTATTTGTAACCCTTCCCTAGGATCAATCGGGAATCACCAGTGGACCTCTGACACCAGGGTCGTCGCCAGCAGAAATTTTTGGTCTGTTTGTCCGATATCCATACACGTTATTTTCAGTTCATCTGATTTTCCAGAAATTACTTTTTTAATTTTTGATTCTAAAAAATGACTTTTTAAGTTTATCTGATCAGTCAGAAACCTGTTTTGGTATTGTCTGATACCGAGTTCATAGGTAGAAGGGTGATTGGTGTGTGATTGGAATTCGGCCTTCAGCCATGAGGTTAGTCTAGTACATAATAGTCAAATGAGATTAGTCGCTTGCGGTTCGCTTTCCGAATGTTGAGCATGCGAGTTCGAGTCCCATATGGTCCTTAGTTCTTTGCATATCCTGCTTGAGGTACGGTACACTGTAATATGAGAAGAGCTGTTTAAAAATAAATCAGAAATTGAATTTCAATATTTCTGAGTCAACAGAAATGCTTTTAAGAAACTTCTGATACATCAGACAGAAAAAATCATGCCATCTGACCCATCAGGTAGGTTCAAAACCTAGGGATGACCCTGTCTGACACCCCCCCGCACTGGGATGCCCGAAGTGCACACACCGAGATTCGAACCCGAGACCTTCGCTCTGATACCATATCATAATCCCAACCACTAGACCGTTGGAATAAAAGGGCTTGTTTGTGTAGCGGGTAAGTGTGCTCATAACCCGCCAGGCCAATGTACCTGTAACCCTTCCCTAGGATCAATTGGGGATCACCAGTGTGTCAAACTATTATAATGTGTAGGTTGTCTAGGCCGTAGTGGGGTAGCCCATAAGGGGTACAACCCAATTAGGGTTAGTACTTGTACCAACTTCCTACTCTATTTATTCATTCCTTCGTCTAGATTCTGACATGGTTTCAGAGCAGGTCCTGTTCCAGGACCATTTTTTTTAGGGCCCTCCGAATAGTTCTCTACCTGTAGCGCGTTACCCTATTCGTAGCGCCCTATCCTGCCCGTCGCGCTGCCCCACCAGTCGTGCTGCCCTGCCCTGCCCGCACGCCGCCCTGCTCGCTGCCACGCTGTCCTGTCGTGCCCATGCGCCACCCTGCTGGCTGCCGCGCCACCCTGCCCTGCCCGTCGCGCCGCCCTGCTGGCCGCGCGCCGGCCTGCCCTGCTCTTAGCGTCGCCCTAGGACCCGCGCGCTGCCCCTGCCCTGCCCGTCGCGCCGCCCTGCTAGCCGCGCGACGCCCTGCCCTGCCCGTCTCGTCGCCCTAGGACCCGCGCGCCGCTCTGCCCTGCCCGTCGCGCCGCCCTGCTAGCCGCGCGTCGCCCTGCCCTGCCCGTCGCGTCGCCCTAGGACCCGCGCACCTGTAACCCTTCCCTAGGATCAATTGGGGATCACCAGTGTGTCAAACTATTATAATGTGTAGGTTGTCTAGGCCGTAGTGGGGTAGCCCATAAGGGGTACAACCCAATTAGGGTTAGTACTTGTACCAACTTCCTACTCTATTTATTCATTCCTTCGTCTAGATTCTGACATGGTTTCAGAGCAGGTCCTGTTCCAGGACCATTTTTTTTAGGGCCCTCCGAATAGTTCTCTACCTGTAGCGCGTTACCCTATTCGTAGCGCCCTATCCTGCCCGTCGCGCTGCCCCACCAGTCGTGCTGCCCTGCCCTGCCCGCACGCCGCCCTGCTCGCTGCCACGCTGTCCTGTCGTGCCCATGCGCCACCCTGCTGGCTGCCGCGCCACCCTGCCCTGCCCGTCGCGCCGCCCTGCTGGCCGCGCGCCGGCCTGCCCTGCTCTTAGCGTCGCCCTAGGACCCGCGCGCCGCCCCTGCCCTGCCCGTCGCGCCGCCCTGCTAGCCGCGCGACGCCCTGCCCTGCCCGTCTCGTCGCCCTAGGACCCGCGCGCCGCTCTGCCCTGCCCGTCGCGCCGCCCTGCTAGCCGCGCGTCGCCCTGCCCTGCCCGTCGCGTCGCCCTAGGACCCGCGCACCGCCCTGCCCTGCCCGTCGCGCGACGCCCTGCCCTGCCCGTCGCACGACGCCCTGCTCTGCCCGTCGCGTCGCCCTAGGACCCGCGCGACGCCCTGCCCTGCCCCTCGCGTTGCTCTAGGGCCCGCGCGCCGCCCTGCCCTGCCCGTCGCGACGCCCTAGGGCCCGCGCGCCGCCTTGCCCTGCCCGTCGCGTTGCCCTAGGGCCCGCGCGCCGCCCTTCCCTGGCCGTGCGGCGCCCTGCCCTGCCCTGCGCGCCTTCCTAGTGCCCGCGCGCCGCCCTGCTCGTCGCGCCGTCCAGCTGCCTGCGAGTCGCACTGCCTTGCCTGCGTGCTGCCCTGCTGGTCCCGCGCCGCCCTGCTCTGCTCGCTATGGCTACTCTCAGCGTTCTCACCTTCGATCCTGAGGGCCGTCCGATCCAGTTCGATACGTGGCTCGATGACTTACAGTTGTACCTACTGAGCGATTCTAGAGACAGCGTTTCGTTGTTTGACTACACGCCTGGAGCCTCTCTCGCCCCTCCCGACACAGCTGACAGTGCGACTCGCTCACAGTGGCTTACCCGTGACGCTGCTGCTCGCTTAGCCGTTCGCAACCACCTGCCATTAGCCGAACGCGCTCACTTTGGCCAGCACAAGACTGCTAAAGCCCTGTACGACGCTGTAGTCGCTCGTTACTCCTCCCCTACCACTGCTGCTCTCGGCCGCCTTATACTGCCCTACCTCTTTCCCGAGCTGTCCGCCTTTGCCACAGTCGACGACCTAGTCACCCACCTCCGCACTAGTGACACTCGCTACCGCTCAGCGCTTCCCGCCAAGTTTCTAGACAAGAAACCTCCCCCCATGTACATCGCTCTCTACATCATAGTCACCCGCCTCCCTGGCTTTCTTAGCGCAGTCAGGGACCTCTTTCTCGCCATGGACCCCACGGACCTCACTGTCGACCTGCTCGAGAAGCACCTCCTTGCAGCTGAGGCTAGCATAGTCGTTGTAGGTGCT